ATTTCGCAAGTCCCTGGTGACTTTAACCGGTGAAAATAGAAATTCCCATAAATTTAATACACTTTTGAGGTTAATGTTTAAAATAAATATACTGTATTAGAGCTTATATCGATATAGTGATAAAGTTTTTTTTTATTTATACGTATATGCTATATATATACAAATTATTAATTTAATATATATATTAAAAAAAGAAATTATTTATTCAAATATATACTATTTTTTACATCGTTTCAAATTACATTTAAAGAACCATGGTTTTATAAATCATGAAAGTATCCGAATGAAATTCCTGCTTAGGATAATTTTTTGGTGTGAGATTTACATAAAACGTATCATTTTCGGACCAATTTGAAGTGACGGTGAAGCAGATGTTGTCCAAATAGAGCAAAGCGGACTATTTTTCAAATAAATAAGATAAATAATGATTGGGGTAAGAAAATTATAATATACAATTTATTTACAATTTATTATAAACATGATTCATTTAAAAAAATACTTACAACGCTCCAGACTAGCTTAGCATTTGAGCCCGGAGGTATTCGCCATAATTGTACGAAAATTTTAGCTATAATATTTATAATATTTCAAAAAAAAAGTAACAAAGTCAGTAAATCAATTTTTAAATATTTCCAACCCTACCTACACTAAAGTATTCTAATTGGCGGGCTTGCACACCAAAAAGATTACAAAAAACTTACTATTTTCATCATACCCAATAAAACTCCATTTAATACATAAATCTGAACCAATAGGGTACAAACCTTGGATAGGTGAATATATTTCAACAGAGTTTTCAACAGCTTGAATTTCAACGATTGAGTAATGTACATTGATTGTTAGAAAAATGATTACTAGTAGGAGGAATGTTGACGTTCTCATTTTTTTTTCTGATATAATAAATTATAATGATTTTTGAATAATTTTTTATAATTTTTAATAATTTTTAATAAGATTTCGTTCTTTGGTGTAATTAATATAATTGGTATAAAGAGAACAAGAAGAAAAAGCAAAGAATTTATATCTTTTAATAATTTGATGGCTTAACTTCGTTCGTTCGCATAAACTTTACGAAGAAGTAAACAATTCCACACCACGCATAAAGGCTTATTAAGTGGGCGATGTTGTGAAAATTGACCGAGCGAAGGGCGAGAACATATTTTTTCATAGCCGCGTTCTTTTAACGAGAAAATTGATTTTAACAGTTCGTCATTGCGTTTTGGGCGTATTAAAAGTTTTTATTTTGTTTTTATTGCGCCTTTGTTTTTGTTTATATGTGGCTCGGGTAATGTAATTTAAAATTTAGCGAGACAAATAGTTAAATCATTGTCGTCTCTTCGATCATTTAATCGGTTTACCTAATTTTTTTTTTTTTATAAACTTTATATAGATATTTTATGTATAGATACTTTAAAATAGAATCTATCATTTACATATACATTAACTACCGAACTTAATGTCCGAGATCAGTCTGGAATTCTATCGTGCAATTCTATCGTGCACACGTTTCATATTTTTCTGTATTACCCG